GCATTTTTTTCCTTTGCTTCCTTCCCTCACAACATAGCAACGGTGACGCTGTAGGATCAGAAGTTCTAGCAAACAATTGAATCCATCTGTTTCTAATATTAGCTTTTATTTCACCCACATCTACGTATTCTATGTCTATGTGCGTCTTTCCGTTCAATATTTTCCGGTTATTTAAAATGTATAAATGTATGCTATTTTATGCAAATACGTCCATTATCTATTATCAGTAAACGTAGATTGCGCATTTAAAATCATTTGGTAACAAGATCACTGTCAGCATTTTACTAAATTATCAACTTTTTTTTTAGATGCCACTGAGTGTCAAAACTCGTATACCACCAATACCACCACCAAAACCGAAGAATTATTACATGCAAAATGGTCTGAACAATCCTTTGAATATACACAACAGTCTTGGTCGACCAATAAACGAACAACGTAAGAATATATTTATTAGTTTTTATTTTAGACTAAAACCTTCCTCACTTATACTAAAAAGAACTTTGTGCAAAATGAAGCGATACAGTCGGTCATTATTTTTCAGCAAAAAAATTTGGTGTCATACCGGGTGACAGTGATACAGATTCTGGTATATGCGCCGATTCTGATAACCAATTATCACCGGGTTGTAATCGTTATCAGGATCGTGAATTTCCAGCCACTGATTATAGCTGTAATGTTTTTCAAATAGACAGCGACTCAAAATTTGACAAATTATCCGGATATTCGCCATTAAAACGGTAAAATACTATTCGATTATGACGGTTTCATTTGAACTCATCGCCAGTTATGTGGTATCGTGCATTGCCATCCAAAAAACCAATAATATATTAAATGGTTCTATTAGAGTTTTTTTTGGTTAAAAAACTGAATGTTATATCTTTTTTATCCTTCTCTAGAACAACAAGAAAAATGAGCCACCGGAGTCAACAATATTCTGATCGATCAAAAACAAATATTTTATAAATCTAAACAGATAAGTCAATAAAAAAAATCAAGAAAAAAAACAGCGATTATTACCAAGCAATATAATGCTCTCAATGAGTAAGATTTCACATAAAATCCAATATGATTTACTCCACTCATGAAAATTTCTTCAAATTACGATACCTTTCGTTGTTTCTCATGATCACAGCCGTCCTCTCGCCGTCGTCATCATTGTCATCATGATTGTTGCCTTCTTCTCCATCTGTTTGCTCTTTTACTTCCTTGAACTTTTTAATGGCAGATAAAGGAACGATTAGTGGTGATAATCTAAGCAAAATTGTCCACTTCGTGTACCAACTGGCCAAAGGATTAGGACATTTGAGAAGCGACAATGCATGAAGTTCAACTGGCGAGGGGAGGAAGGGGATAAGCGCATTTTGCAAATGCTTGGCAAATTGCCTCCTTACAAAAGCAGTCATAAACCTGTCGATAAACCTTAAATCTATGGTGTCATAAATTTCAGAGAAGCCTTAAAAAACAAGTTAACTAACGAGCTGCAAATTGTAAAACAGCGAAGATTACCACAACGACCAGTATTAAATGGCAGTACGGAATCAAATTGCCGTAATAATCGGTCAGCTAAACATTTCCGAGTTCGATTTGCTGATCAGGTGAGTTTTTTAATAAGTTGATGGCTGTTTGTCGCTAACTTTTCACTTCCGTTATGCATTTGTTTTGCAATACAGCAATAATATTTATTGAATGTTCAGTTATGTTGATCAATCAACATCCTAATTGCATATTCTGCAAATTCTAATAAACCATCTCCCAGTGTAATTCTTGAAGCCTGTCCTTCTTTTTTTTTCTGAAATTAAAATATGTTAATCAAATTCTATTTGGAAAGATTGGAAAACAACATTGTCTTGTGATTTGTACCAGGAGGAGCGTATTTGAGCAGAGCTGCGACATGTTAGAGCGACTGCCAAATGTTTAGCATATAATCAGCGTTCAAAATTTAGTTTTTGCTTTTTGCATTTAGGTGTCTGCCTCTGCCGGATCTCCGACACATTCTTTTGGTTCTGAAAACGAAGATTTTAAGACCGTTTCCAGTTGTTCAAACAAGTGTACTACCACTTCTCGATTGACATCTAATGCGGAAAACACGGAGAGAACTTCAACGGATCAAAGACCATATTTATATGGTAAGTGATGGCGATTGTTGAACTGATTGCACAGATACATATATAACTGTGCATATAATTGCATTTACAACCATCGTATTCATAATTTTTTTGACTATAGTCAATCAGGTCAGTGAATATAAAATTCTATGATAATATAATACAGCAGAAATTTTTTTTTTGATTGACGGTTATGGTTTATCTGTGTTCTACTGATGAGCTTGAGCTTGAGTGCGAATCAGTTTACAGTGTGATCTGAATGGGTCAGAAATTACATATATCATCTGAACATCATCTTTACTTTCCAAAGATTGTCTTTCCTCAAATAGATGCATTGACTATTCTGTCTGGTAAAACACCGAAACCCTTAAAGTAATTGATTTTTTTTAATGAGGTTTTTAGCTGTAACCAAAAATTTTGCTGGATAATGGCGGGTAGCTTTTGCAAAGATTCTCTGATCATATATTCAGTTACTTAACCAATAGAGATTTATGCAACATGGCCTCCATGCTCATTATGAGATTACGTGATAAGTTGCTGATTCGTTCAGCATTGTTTTTTATATATCCTTAAATTAATTGTTCGCAGAAACCTTGTTCGTTTCATAAGCTTTTTGGTGTTTAAAAAAATACTTTCGTTGTGTAGCTTATGAATTCAAACGATTTAAAGGGATATGACCACTCCAGTTTTCCTTTTCAACATTTGTAGAAAATAAGTGCACGAATTTACTTTTATCGATTATTAATCGGCCTACCCTTTTTTGAATTAAAGTTTCTATTACAAGGGCAAAAAAGTTACAACGTGAACTGTTGAAAACGTTAAGAAAATCAAAAATTCAGATTGTGACCGTATACAAGCGGTGAATAGTATGCCAGTCGATGGCATCGACACATTTCCGTCACCGCCGAGTTACGCTTCCTACTTTGGTACATTGAGAGAAGGGGACAAGGCTAATTATTCTCGTCAGCAGGTGAAAATTTAAAATATAATTTTGTAATATTTTATCATTAAACTCTTTTTTAATTATTAAATTATACTTAATTTAAAAGATGATCATAATTAATAATTTTGCAACCTCCTTACCTTATTTTCTTTCATAGTAATAAATCAGCAGGAAAAAACCAAACTTTCTCATCGCTCCTTAAGAACCACGAAGTGTTTTAACAGAAAGAAAAATTATAAGGAATCATTGGTTTTAAAAAATTTGTTTAATTCAAGGAATTTTTTAAGTTGGTAAACTGAACATTTTTGAATTCATATCATTTCGCTCACTTCTTTAGTTTGCTGCACTTTTTAGGCCCCAACTCGGGTAGTCCGGCATTGTCAAAGTCGCTCTTCGTCACTACCACGGACTATATACAATTCTAATCCCTCGAGCATCAGATGGATGTGTTCCGATTTCCCGAGGCCATTGATAGATACTGATTACCCTGTATGCTTTTCCATTTCGTTTGCTACGGATATCACGTTTTTAGTATTATTCAGTCGCGCTACTTGATGTCATTTTTTTAAAATCTTCTGTGACACAATAAGAAATCTGTTGGCGCTCTCTAGGGGATTTTAATTTTGTTTACTGGGGCTGAAAGTATAAATGATAATTGGTAGTCATCAGTTCTTTATTAAGGAACTGATATGTGGTAAAATAGGTAGGATGTTCAAAGAGTGTGGTTTATTTGAACTTCCCGAATGAAAGGGGTGAGGTCACTTTGTTGGCCACACATTGTGCAATCGTGTGTGATAACCTCCTTCAAATGTACCATTCCATTAACTGCTCTTTGCAGTTGCTCTGCGTTGCTTGAGAGATATTTTTTTGTTTTGGAGCCGACTGGCATGTTCCTTCTTTGCAGAATCAACAATTGGACTTGTCAAATGATGCTCTATCTCGTAGCGTTTCTTGTCAAATTACAAACGAGGCCTCGAGTACATCCAGATCAAGCGGAGGAAGAATTCTACCTGATGCGCCAGTGAACGTGAATGCTCGAAGTCGTATAAGGCAACCTGCTTACAGTCGTCAAAGGTCTGAATATTTTTTTTTAATGTAATGTCGTGACAAAAGTTAGTGCTCTGTTCAACTATTGACAACTGCTTCTCTTAGTGTTGTGCTTCATTCGCGATATATCGCATTAACAGAAAAGTTGATATAAAGGACTAATTAGTTATTTATAATACTCCTGGAAACCAGTCGTTGTCCTTTTGAGTTTTACGCACACTTAATTAATTCGAGGAATTTTCATTTCGTATTATAAGGCGATAAAGTTTGGATGAAATATGGTAGAAGTTATAATTATTTTTAAAAGATTATTGTATTATACTCAACTTTTATATCAGCTCATTATTTTGGTTGAAATCAGGATTGTGAACCACATAAAACTGAGTGTTTGAGAGGAGAAAAAAGCTTTCAAGATGGATGGAGGAGGGAGGTGATGACTATATTAGCAGAGAGCAGTTTCATAATCTTTTTTTTTGTAATATATGATTTCTGCGTTTACTGGACTCAAGTGTGACCGTGTTTCGCTTTCTTTTACCGTCGTATAAACTTCAATTTTCCCAAAAAGTTATATATTTAGTGGAAAGTTAACTATTTTTTCGAAAAATAGTAGAATGTCACTGCTCCTTTGTCTTCCTGTGCCTTATCTGTAAGTATCTAAAGCATTGTGTTTGATGCAAAGTGGCAAATTTGCGGCATGAAGGAGTAGCTACTTTTTTTTGAATTTGTGAAGATGAATTGTTAGAAAATCTAAAGCTTGGCTTTCAGCGTCAGCAGTTGTAAAGAGCGAGAGATTCCGAGGATTTTTTGACTAGTTGTATTTCGTGATTAGCATTTGGCTGCTTCGTACTGTTTTTTTCCGATAGTTACTTGTTCTAAGATAGATCTAAAATGTGAATTGGCATTTGTTTTCCCGAGAATATCTACTCGGTACTAAGTACCTAATTAGGTCATATATTTTAGTTAGAACCTGCTGAAGTGCAGATTTGAGGTCTGCGTTTATTTTTAGGAGGGTGAGGCAAGCGCAAACTGAACAGCGGTCCCACAGTGTTGGTTCTTCAATTTGGAGGAACTACGACGAGCAACCAGAGGGCATTAACTTTTATAGTCGCAGGTAACTCTCACGTAACTGGTAGCAAAGCACACAGCTATATAAAAGCATAGTTTTTAACGAGTGAATGGAGAAACTTTCAAAAGTTGTCAGGCCGTAGCATAGTAAAAGTGCTTTTCAGGGAAATGATTCCCCCGGTTCAAGCCAAATTGATTGCGTTGGACCACAGAGGATTCAGAACAGTTGTTATAGAAAAGTTGAAACCGGGACCGTTTGGATTCTACATTGCAACAGGGATTATTAATCAAAGGAGAGGTGAATCTGCAACATCAACGTATTATTCAAATTTTGCATTCATACCCGAAAGAAACTTTAGTTTACTGCAATCTGTGCATTAGTCAAAAAATCCAGAAGGCTTTTTTCATACTTTAATTTTTAGGGATCTTCATATCGCGGGTTTCTTTGCCTTCTTTAATGCCAGTCTTATCCGTTGGCGACGAGCTCATTTACGTTGAGAATGAACTTATCAAGGGTCGTACTCTTGAGTACGTACAGTCACTAATTGCGGGTAAAAATATTGTAACAATAGTTCTGTTGCCAAACATCTCATCAGCACTCTGTTGACACTTTTTAATGTGATCATGTAAATTAAATAATGTGATTTGCTGGATCAAGAAAAAATTTTTATCTTTTGTGAAGATGTAGAAGTACAAACATTGTTACCTTGAAAATCTGTACATTATGAAACTCTGTCAAAAACATGCAGTCAAGGTTAATTGTCGTTTCCTACTAAGAAGTGTAAGGAAGTTCCTCTCTGGCACCACATACAGCTCTCGCCTTACCACTTCAATTTGAAAAAATATTTAAAGTTGGTAGTGTCGGAGGACAAACCGCTGTCAGAGTTACACTTCAAACTTTTATTGCCTGTGTGAAAATGGCTCGCCAGAAGAGTTATAATAATTTTCACTACCAGAAAGAATAATTAACAAGTTGCTCCACAGTGAGTATGAAGATAGCTTGGGAAGACCGGGGACAGTTAGTTGCTAAACAGAAAACCTGGCCGGAATGTATTAAAAAATGATTTGATTTCATGCAGCAGATTTTACCGGTGGCAAACTTAAGAAGTACAGGATGTAGCAGATGCAAGAGATGACCCAGGAGTGAAATTAGTATTTACTGAGCAGTGTAATTAACCAGTCATAGATCCAAAACAGTTAGAGAAGTAAATAGCAGGATCTAGCACAGCCTAAAAAGCGACCTATTGTATGTTCCTCACAGATTCATCCATTGCTTTAGCTACGTACTCGACATTTTTCGTGTTCAATCCGCATACATTGATTCTTCCATTTTTCAACAGGAAGATCTTATGTTTCTTCACCATATTTTCAACTTGTCGCTCTAAAAAATTCCAAATTAGTCTAAGATGTCAAACTCAACAAACTATTAGTATAAAAGATTAAGTTGTCAACAGTAAAAGACATACGATTAAGCCCAGTGTAGGAGAACATCCCAATTTGTTGAGTTATATGGTCCCATTTTCCAGGAGTGCCCAGCTTTTCAAGGTGCTCACGTAAAGCAGCCCTCATATTTCTGATTCTCGATGACATTATCTAAACTTTAGCCTCAAATAATGCTTATTTTACAGTGAGAATTAGAACAGTCGGCAACAATTTCTGGGTTAACAAATTACCTTAATAGATTCAAACCACTGACTCCTCATTTCTGGAGTTGTCAGGATCATATGAACGACCTTAGCCCCATGGTTAGGCGGGTTGGACCAATTTGATCGGATAACTAGAGACATCTGTGACTTGACATTTGCAAGTACAGCCGGATCAGAAGCGATAATGGCCAAATTCCCAATACGCTCGTCTTAAGAACAGACAAAAATGGAAGAGCTGTCAAACGATACAAACTTAATTGCTGTATACAGTTTTCACAGAACCTTACACTTCCTCTTGAAAACAATAGAATAGGCATTTCAGCAATCATTGGTAAAATAATTACTTCATGAATTATGAATAAATTTTAAAATCGTTTTACTATAAAGTCCAAAATTTTTCGCAAACGACTGGGCAACAACCATCTCAAAGCCCTGGCTGGCGAAATAACGAACTGCCCAAGCATCACTATCTGGATCTCCACTAGCGAAACCTTGGTAGGCAATGTCAAAAAATGGGAAGAGTTTTTTCCGCTGAAAAAATTTAGCTGTACTTATTTGGACCTGTCAGAAATACTTTCAAACAAATAACCTTCATGACTTCAGCAATCTTCTGCCACTGTTCATGGGTAGGATCTATACCAGTGGGATTCTGAGCGCACCCATGAAGAAGAATTACTGACCTAGAAAAAAAGCAAATTAGAAACTTCTATCTTAAGCGAACGACATTGACGAACTTCCAGCTGAATGGAACCGTCAACACGGCATAAAGACAAGAACCCAAAATTATAATAAAAGTGCGACAGAAAGATTAGGAGAAAAAAAATTCCTACTAAAATTTATAAAATTAAAAGAAGTAAATGCTTGACAAGAACGTTTTATAACATAGATGTTAGTTAAATGTTGCAAAGTAGTCAATTAAATACCAGAGAAGACAGAGAAAAAACCTAATGGAATCACACGCTTTCCACTCTAGACTGTGACAAGTTCAAATATTTAGAAGTGACAAGAAACAAGGCGAAAATGAAGAGCAAAAAATTACTATAATTCATGTTTTATAAAGAAAATTCTTTTTTAACATTTAACTGTTTAATAAAATCAAATCAAGTAAAATGTTATATTTTTATTTGCTACCTTTCATAATTTCCATACTTTACAAGCTGCAGAAAATTAATCTCATACAACCTGCCCAATAAATAAGTCGTGCGAGACTATAGCTACCAAATAACAAAGATTCAATCATTAGCTAGAGAAAGAAGACTAAAATAGTTGGATAAACAAAGAGACTGGTAAAAGTACCTCTCAGGCGCTGCTTCAAGGTCTTCCAAAAGTCCTTTGATATCAACACAACGATTAACTTCATCCCAATACCGAAATTCTAGTATATCCGTGAAATTCGCTCTAGTGAAAATTAACTTATGGTTTCCCCTGCAAAAATAATTATGCGAAAAAACTTATAAATATTGAACACCAGCCGTGAATGCCAGTGATCAAAAACCCATCACACCTCTAGCAAAATTTTGAAATTACGTTAATCTTTATTAAAGAAAGTCACCAAGTTGGTTTAGTCAGGTAGACTGTTTTTAAGCCAACAATACGTTGAAGAAAATCTGCTCCAGCACGTATTGATCCTGTTCCCGAAAGGCACTGAGCTCCAGTAACCTAAGTTAAGCAGAATTTAATAAAACTATTACTAATAACAAAAAAGTTCGACCGTTAAACAGTTTTAATTTGGCAAGACTTGGCAGAAATCTCAGCATACTAAGAACTGAAAAGTAAGATATCATGAGAAACCTCCTGTCGAATTAATAAAAAGTTAAAAATAAAAATGCTTGTAAAAGATACCCGCCCTTCTTTAATAACAAGTGAATCCTTTCCAAGCAAAAGTTCCAGAGCTGCGTCAATAAACGGCTGGTAACCAAGAACAGGTAAATATTCATGATTTTGAGAAGAATCGTTTGCTAACTTTAATTCTGCTTCTCTGACAACAGGTAAAACGTACGGTTCTCCTTCTTCGGTACGATAAGCTAAAGTAAACAACTAAAAAATCGAGAACATACTGAATTCTTCAAAACAATCACGAAACTTGAGAATGCTAAAGTTTAAGCTGTAATATCGCACCTATACTTACACTGCTATTCCAAAGTGGTTCAATAATTAACCGGTTCTTACCCTTTTCACTAGCTTTTAACGATAAAAGTTCTTACTGAACACCTCTAATCCTCAACTAAGAGACCACATGACTTTTTGATGTGTAAGCATCATTAGATGAAATGATTCTTCTGTATCTCATCTACTGCTCACTAAAAACTCTTTTTATCACTTCTAATAAAAGCAAGCAAACCTCCCACAGTCAAATTGACCTTAGTAGGAGACTTCTCATCCTGATACATCTTGTTCATGTGGAAAACCTCAATTGGAGGAGCTGCCTCAACCTTAGCAAACAGCGACATTTTACCTCAGCTGAAATGAAAACTGTTGAATATGAAAATGTAGAACAAAAAAGCCGTATGCGTATACCGACAGAGATAAATTGCTAGCCAAGAAAAAGATAAAAAATAACATTGCTTCAGTCAACCATTCCGAATTCAAAGAAGATATATCCCTCTAATAATATTAAAACCTTCATCCCGACTTCTCAGTACCTTAAAAAAAAAATCTGCTTAAAACACAAGGTGCTTTGAACGCCACTGTTACTTGGTGACGGCATTTAAAAACTGAGTATTCTTGTCGGAATCAAGGCTGCATCACGAGCGCAAAGAAATGCTTTACGAAAACCTTTACCTCAAACATTAATTTCCCATTTATGCACAGCAGAAATTTATTGAAGTCAAAAAATTGCCTGCATTTTAAAAATGCCCAATAAAGAATTGGCAGAAAGTGTAGTCTAAAAAGAAATTCGTTTACTCCGGAATTTTAAAAAAAACCCTTCTTTTTCTAAACTGCGAAAAAATTAGAATTTTTATCCGCAAAATTTGAATTTAAAGTTTCTTAAAGAGAAGGACCACCTAAACATCCAACAATGCAACAATATTTAAAATTAAAATCATTTTTGGAATGATAGTAAATATTAAAAAAGTGCCACCAGAAAGTGTTGCAAATTAAAAATAGACGAAAAGCAAGCTTATAAAACGTTCACAGATTATTGCGACTGACTAAAACACAACCTATGTTAATGCTTAAAACAAACTTTCCACACCAATGCAACGATGAACGTGCCAACCCTAACGAACTGGTATAAGAGCGACTGAATAAATTTGACAGTTTTTGTATTTTATGTTGCCTCTCGCCCACCACTAAATTTTTTTTCTTTTTAATCGACATTCTGACAACTAACTGCTCAAAAAAATCCGGCAATCCAAACGCATATCAAAAAAAAAAAAACAGCCATGTTTTCCCAACAGGTACGCCGAAGAGCTGTTGAAGTAGCAAAAAAAAAAAAAAAGTTAAAGCTAATTTATCTAGAGTTAGGTGAAGATAAAGCAATAATTTTAGAATAGTCCCAACAGCAAAAAAATAACCAAAAAAATCTAACTGAAGCTGATATAATGTCGATCAGTATAGCCCAGTAACAAGCACTCATTTTATCCTTCCGTATTCAGGTAAAATATCTAACCACTTTTGCTTTTTTCCCTCTTCCTACCTCCCCTCCTCACCCTTCCATCCTGGATCCGATACAGGATTATTAAAGAGAAGGAAAGAAAAATGAAGTAAAATCTTCACAAGTAATTAGCCAGATTCCACTGCACTGCGTTTTGAAACTTGTCCTGAAGCATCAGAGCACCTGATTTCAAGTCCTCAATTAGAATTTGACGTCTATTTCCCATACCTGCTAAAGCCGTACCAACTGCCATTCTCTAAGAGGAGAGGCACTAAAAATGCTTAGTTTTCGTCAACAACAGGTTCCAAAAGACCAAATTTTAACTGTTCCATCATTCCGTGCATTACAAATCTTTGTCCAAACTTTAGAAATCCTAAATGTATAAACAAAAGAAACAGAAATAAACAATAAATAATACAGATGACAAACTAAAAACAAAAAAAAAAAGAAAAATAAATAAATCCAATTGCAAACGTTGACAGCATTTTGAAATTTTTTGGAGTTCAAAACGAAGACAAAAAAGTGCTGCAAAAAGTTGTATCATTTCAACGAAAAAAGTTATAAATGCAAACAGTAATTTTCAATTTGCCAAATTGACCATACAGATTTAATCATTATATTTTTTTTTCTACTGTTTCACTAATGTATTGGTAGTTTATTGCAGAGAAATAAATCTTAAATTAAACAATATTATCAATAAAACTGTTCTGAACAATATTTAAATGTCAGCCCAAAAAGCAAAAAAAAAACAGAATCAAATTTTGAAAAAACATAACTGTCTAAGGAAAAAAAAGTACAAAATTTATGAAGTGAAAAATTTGAAGTAAAAACAGGTAAAAATGTGAAAGCAGAAAAACAATGTAACATTTTGGTTCTGCTAATTTTTCTTAACCAGTTTACCAATCACTTTTCCAGTTTCCATTCATTTATTTTTGACAAAAAAAGTTGTCAAAAAAGGTCATACAGACAAAAAAAACTTTATATGCTTATTGATAAAAAGAAAAAACTATAAATTTGATAGTAACAAACTTCAGTTTCATCTCATAATTCAGTAAACATCAAACACCCGTTTCAAATATAGATAATCATCATTTGTCGTTGTTCTGCTGTCTACACCTGTCAATTTTACAGGTCAACGATGCTCGCAGAAGCTGTTTACAACAAACTTGCCACTGATATTATAATGATGATAAATTGTTAGAGCAAAAAAAAGAAAGAAATGGAACAGCATAAAAGTATTCATATTGGTTCACTAAAAACAACGATGTACTGTCGTAGTTCAACAACTTTTCACTAGCAATTTATTTTTAGCAGTTATAAACAGCATATTTGTCACCCCCAGCAAACAAAAAAAGAATCCAAATTTGATACCTTAATTTGAAATAATCCATTCCTTCAGAATACTTCAACTGAGGAATCACTGTTAAAATAAAAAATTACTTATAAACTAAATTTAAGCTCGTTCTTTTTTGCAAAAAGTAGA